AAAAAAAAGAAGATGAATAGATAAAGATATTCTATTAAAATAGAATAGAAAGTGAAACTCACTAAAACTCTTTGGTTACCAAAATCTTTTTTTGTGTTCCACAGAAGAAAACCGTCAGTTTTGGGATGACATGAGGGTGAGTAAACGACAGAATTGTATTTTTAGGTGAACTATTCCTATAAGGCACATCATTCTAAAATTCATGGAGAATTTACCAAAAACAGCCCTGTTTCTGTTGCATATTTACTGACACCAAGTGGTCAGCAGGAGAAATTAATTTAAAACCCACAGTCTTGCCTTTTGAGCAATTCAAGTGTCAAATTAATGGTCCATAAAATAGATCACAGCATGTGTGCTTGCTCACATATCGATCATATAAATACCGATATATACAGATTCACATATTATTCATACAAATGATTAATCATTTATTGCTATAATATGTTCTATTTTACTTATTTGTACATTTGTTCATTTTTGCACAATATTTTTCTCCTTCTCATTCATTACCTCAGCATAGGTCTGGGTGGAGGCGGAGGCTCGTCCAGCTCCTCGTAGCGTTTGGCCTTCCGCGTCACCTGTTTGTAGATGTTGCGTGCCGTTACGCCGGACCACAATGCTGTAGCCAGTGTAGAGTAATGCAACACAATCCCCACCTTCAGGACATGACATTAGAAAACATAAGAGGGACAACAAATATGCTAATATTCTCAAAATAGTCATGTTAACTTGACAGCAGTACTGCAGTTCTACCTAAGAACTGAGAAACATTTATATAAATATAGTCACCCAAACTCTGTATATACACAGAAAAGCATGCACATACCGCTTGACAAACGCTTGCACTGTACGTTTGGTTGATGCCGCCCACAAACACAGCACAGGTGAGAAGAATATGTGAGCACAGGTTAACCAGCATGTGCCAGCACTTCTTACTCACACGCACTGACCTGCGAACACATGAAATATCGCATTAAAACCAGCATGTTCACAACTTAAAGGGATAGCTCACCCAAAAATGACAATTTTCAGTTCATTTACTCACCCTCAGGTCATCCAAGATGTACATTAGGTGACTCTTTTTTTCTTCAGTAAATTTTTTTTTTTTTAACTGAAATCGTGGTCCTTAGTGATTCATAAAATGCAAGTCAATGGCTACCGTCACTTTGGCAGTCAAAAAGCAGGCAACACAAAATTAATACCCGTGGCTCCTGACGATATACACTAGTAAACATTGGATCAAAACCAAAGTTGTCCTAAAACGCGTTCTTGTCTTTGGACAACTTTTTGATCCACCTCAAATGTTGACTACTCTTTTAAGGTCTTGTGAATCAAAACGATCGATCTGTGCAAGAAACTTAATATTATTTACAACATTATTAGTAAGGATGCACCGAATGTTCGGCAACCGAAATTATTCGTCCGAAAATAGCAAAAAAAAAAAAGCTCTTTCGGTGTTCGCAAAATAAATAAGTGAAAAGACCGAATAAATTGTACCGAACAATGACGTGACGCGATCAAATAGAGGCGCGCGCTAATGCAGCAAACATGACGGCAGTGTGGAAACAGCGGTCCGAGAAAGACGCAAAAATCATTACAAGCACCGACAGCGAGAGACTGTTTAGAACTGCATCTCATGTCTTCGATGAGAAGAGGAAGGGTGGTTGTTGCTGGTTACTGTATGATGATTAAAATCGCGAAATGCCTTTAAACAATTAAATAAACTGCAGAATGTTATGTTTTCTAATACAGCGCTGCACGAGCTCACGGCGGTAGGATTCAAAGTCCAAAGCGAGAGGAAAATCTGCACTGAAACCGTGCTACTCGTCAGCTGCTCAGTAACATTTTTATGAATTTTTACAAGGCATGTGACAATGCGATACGTGCAACAAATGTCTTTCCAAATTCGTAATGAGTCATTCAGTGTTGCCAACTTCTTTCAATAGAAAGTAGCTAAAGCCAGTTTGAAAAGTCGCTAAATGTCGCCAGATGACGTCATACGCTAATTAGCATATTCATGACGTCATCGCGTCTGTTGCCTTTTACATTTGTTTGTCTCTCTGTGCTCACATACTGTATTTCAATGCAGCCAAATTCTCAATAAAACTGTTTTCATTTATATATATATTACCGTTTCTGTTGTCCGACAACAGAATTAATATGAAATAGTGACTGAAATGCGGCCCTTTAAGACTCCATAACCAGCTCTCCCTTCCAAGACGTTAATCTGCACAAAACTCCTGCTTTATATTTGAGCCATCGTCTGATGAAATGAAACGCACATAAGAAAAGACAAGACACAGACAATTCCTGTGCTGTGATTTCGGCTATATGTGCATGTAAAATTAGAGAAGCAACATAATATCTATTTGAACTGAAGGCGCTGCTCCTCTCAGCCGCTCGCTGAACAGAGCAGACGCAGAGAGAGAGGTGTGTGCGCGCTGAGCTCACGCCGTTGCGTCAGTACCAGTGATCACAGAGACTCGCTAAGATTTGTCCAAGTCGCTAGTCGCTTTTTTGGAAGAAAAGTCGCCAAGGGGTCTGAAAAGTCGCTAAATTGGCAACACTGGAGTCATTTGTCAATAAAAAGAAGCACTGAGGTCTTCCTGCGGGTTTCTGCCTAAATAAAAGTTGAGAAAAAGCAAGAACTCCACCAACAGTAATAAATGTTATTATTGTAATTTTACTGTTGCACTGTAAAATAAAATACAAAATGAAAATAATAATTACAACAGCTCATTTATTGTAACATTTACACAGTGTTCAGACTAGGATCTATAATATTTTCTAATGATTTAAAAGTATCTTCTGCTCAGCAAGGCTGCATTTATTTGTAAGGCAAAAATACATGCCTGATTCAAGAAGGGGGTCTAAAAAATGGCCAAAAAATATGATTTTTACTAACCAATGTGTTTTATTGGTATAATGTCTGCTAGAATGCTAAAAAATGTTCTGTGTTAAGTAAATATTTTTAAATGGTTGTTTTGTAAATTATTTTTTTCTTTGAAAAGCAAGACAAAACAGTAAAAAGCACATTTTGGCTATTTAATTTATGCAACGGTGAAGAATTTTCATTTCGGTGCATCCCTAATTATTAGATGTATAGCTATCCATAGCTTCAGACAAATGGGGAAGTCTTTTCCGCAAAATGAATCTTTTGGACAGTTCGTTGCAATGAACGGCTTCAAATAACCAATTCACCTGTTCATTTACATATGACGTCACCTATAGGCAGTTACATTATTAAAGCACCCAATAATGATTTGTAATGTGAATATTTTACTTAACACTAATAAAAACCTGCTACTGCATTACTGGTAATAATGTTGTAAATAATATTCAGTTTCTTGCAAAACCAATTGTTTTGCTTCATAAGAACCCAATATATCGTCAGGAGCCACGGGTATTCATTTTTTTTCAGCTGCTGTGGGGTTTTTTTTGGCTCTCAAAATGACGGTAGCCATTGACTTGCATTTATGAATCACCAAGGACCACGGTTTCAGCTAGAAATCTTCTTTAGTTTTTTACTAAAGAAAAAAAATACTTGCGTCTTACTGAGAGCGAGTAAACTAGCAGACAAACCAATTTTCATTTTTTGGTGAACTGTCCCTTTAAAAATAAACTGCATTTTTCATCACAAGTTCCAGCACTTACTTGTGGTGGTAGATGTAGCTGACTATGACTGACAGCAGGCAGAGCAGCAGGACGATGGCTGTGGCGTAGATAACAGGCTGAAGAGGTTCGAAGCTATACGCGTCATTCCCGGTCTTGTTTATATCCTGTTAGACAAGAGGATTTCAGCCGATTATATTTGCAAATGCATTTCCATTTTTTTTTCTTGTTGAGGATGTGTGAAAAAAGATCTAATTACAAACAGGTCAAAGGCTCACGGTACACATCAACCATGAAGGAAAATTGCACTGCAGATCAATCCAGCACTACAAAAAACCTCTTGAAATAACAAGTAATTACATTATCCTTATTGTTACTTCTGGCTGCTTATCAGAGTCACACAGCAGCATCATATTTCAACAGTATTTCACACATGGACTCTATCATGTAATGCATTTACACGTACAGTAAATACTGCTCAGCCGTGTTATTTTAGTATTATATACTATCATAGTATTTATTCATATTTTGAATTATTATACTTTTATTTGGATGTTTTCAGTTTACAAGTTAAATGTAGTGTAAGTTTCAGCAAGTTGCTATGAGCTTTTGTCATTTTTATTAGTTTTGTTTTGTTCTTACTATTTCTATTTAGCTTTATTTTTATTTCAGTTTTAGTGATTTTAGTGATACTTCAAGGCAGCATTTCTAATATTTTATAACTTTAAATTACTCTTTTCCTATTTAGCCTTAACTTATTTAATTTTAGTTTTAGAAATTTTAGCACTTTACTTTTATTTCCAAAGTTGTCAATGCAACATTTTTAATTATATGCATTATTTCAATGAACAAAACATTTTTTAAATAATTTGATTAGAGCTTGTCATATTTTCTTTACATTTTATATATATATATATATATACAAATTTTTTTTTAAAAATTATATGATCGTTTGCCATTTACATTACTTTTACATGTTTTATTTTACTTCAGTTTGTGCTTTATTTCATTTTTTTTACACATTTGAAATTATATATACATACACATATATATATATATATTTTTTTTTAATCCAAATTTCCACTAATTATCACTAATGACCACTATGATCTTCCTCTCACCATGGACCACAAAATGAATTGTCCAGCAAAATATTCAGACTCTTTCCATAGACTTTAAAAACAAAACAAAAAAAAAAACAAATAGCACTATAAAAGTACTACAAGCAACATGTGTGCCAAGTATTCGAAAGCCCTACAATAGTTTGTTATGAAGAACAGGCTGAAATGTACGCCTCTTTGGTCTCTCTCACCATCAGTAAAGCGTAGTTGTTCAGTGAATGGCAGGACATTGTGGTGAAGTTGTCGTCCTGATGGAGGATCCGGCAGCCGTCGCTCTGCCAGCCGCCCTGTCCACCCAGCAGACTGAAGTTCCAGAAGGAGGGCACAGCGTCTGAGCCGTGCAGGAAGCGCCGCAGGGTCGCGTTCACTGGACTCTGCAGGTTCTTCAGCGGGAAGCCCTCTAAACAACAGCAGAATGGATGCGTAATCAGTCTGTGTTACAAAACACAACAGTTCTGGTTGTGGACCATCTTTGATGGGACACTCTTAAAAATAAAGGTTATTATAAACATTTATGGTTCCATGAGGAACCTTTAGCATCCGTGGAACCTTTCCATTCTACAGGAGGTTCTTTCTAGTGGAAAAGGTTTTTAGCTGATTAAAAACTAAGAAAAAATGGTTCTTTTAAAAAACTGTTCATTGAAAGGTTTTTGGGGAACAAAAATTGTTCTATGGCATAACTCCTTTTCAAACCATTGTTCTTAAGATTTTTTATTTTTAAGGATCAACATTTTTGATCTACTTCAAATGTCGACTACTATAATTTTTGTTTAGGTTTTCCATCTAATAGTAATTATTATTATTTTTAACAATTTTGCTATGATTGCTATGATTGATTATATAATGCTTTTATAATCTGTTAGTTTTATCCTATTTAGCTTTAATTTGTTTTATTTTAGTTTTAGAAATTTTAGCACTTCACTTTTATTTCTGTAGCTGTCAATGCAACATTTCTAATTATATGCATTTCAATTAACAAAACATTTCTAAAATTAATTTTATTAAGAGCTTGTCATATTTGCTTTACATTTTATATAGATTTACAAAATTGCTATGAACGTTTGCCATTTATGTTACTTTTTAAATATTTTATTTTACTTGAGTAAAAGTTGTGTTTTTACACATTTGAAATTATACATTTTTTTAAATGAAAATGTCCACTCTTATATCACTAATGAATTTATGGTTCCATGAGGAACCTTTAGCATACATGGAACCCTTCCATCCACAGGAGGTTCTTTCTAGTGGAAAATGTTCTTTAGATTATTAAAATATTCTTCAAACTAAGAAAAAATGGTTCTTTTAAGAACTGTTCACTGAAAGGTTTTTGGGGAACAAAAATTGTTCTATGGCATAACTCCTTTTCAAACCATTGTTCTTAAGAGTGTATGATAAAAACACAGTTCATCGCTGACTAGCCAACTAAGCGTTTAGTTAGGAAGTACACATATTAAATCCATGTGCATCGCTTGTATTGAGACAATATGATCCATATCAGATTCTTCTAAACTCTGCAGCTTTTTCATGGAATTGCAATCTCTTTCTTCTCCGCTTAGGCCTCTCGTTGAAATCAATCAGTTTTTCCTAGCAGCTCCCTGTGCTGTAGTTTGCCGCCCCCTCACACTTCAGCTGCTCTCCAGCAGCATTATTGCTCTGTTCGTGACACGATGCCTCTTTACCTGCTTGAAGCCAACATGGGGGTGGGATGTATTATAATAGTGCTGCTGTACAGTAAAGATCACATCACAAAAGAAGAAAATAAAAGCACACTGTAAAAATACATTTTTCAAAGAATACTAGAGTATGTTTTACCAGAAAATATCATTTCACTCTTTCCATTTCAAAATGGCATGTTTAATTCGGTGTATCATTTGCAGTTTCTTTGTAATTATATGTGAAATCAAAAAGTAAACGCATTAAAAAAAAAAGTTTTTCCAGTGCAGTCATGTGTTTTTTTTCTTCTATGCAATTCTGACCTGGTGCAACATTTTCTAGAAAAAAAAAATAATTGTATTTGCGGTAGCACTTTTTTGTTTTATTTAAAAACTTACAAGGCATAATTAAACTTTTATTACCTACTGTAAGTTATACTTCTGTATGAGTGTTACTTATCACTGATACACTAATATAGTTTGTGTTTTAAATTAGATTTGATTTTTAAATGTTCTGTTTTCACTTTTAGTAATTTTGTCATACTTTTTTTTTTGTCAATTCATTAGTTTTTTTATAGATCTATATAGTTTTTCGATATATGTCCATTAGCTTACGTTAATGCATTAATTTACATTAACTGTTGTAGCCATTTAAGAAAATAAATTTTATATTTATGTTTAAATATTACTTGTTTGTGTTTTGTTTCAGTTTAATCTGTTAATTATGAAAGAAGTTTGTGTAATTTGTGAACGTCATAAAGTGCGTGGTAATGAATTGAACGGCAATACGCCGGGAGAAATGGAGTGGGTCACACAATTTTTGACCACTTCATACGTTTAGTTTGTGGAAAATCTCTTTTTTGAACGAATTTCGTTTTGTATAATTTGTATCTTAATTTTGATACATAATTTTGTTGATCAACTATCAAAATCAAATAAGAACAAAGAGAAATCTGTGGAATAAAGTGCGTAACAAAACCATTGTTAGTTCATGCTAGCTTATGTCCATTAATTAATTAATTAATTAATATTAACAGGTACAACTTTGGATTTTAATAATGTATTAGTAAAGGCTGAAATTAATATTAACTTAGATTAATAAATGCTTTACAATGATTTTTCATTGTTAGTTCATGTTAACTAATGGAACCTTATTGTAAACTCTGCATGTTTTAATTATTTTTTTGGGACACACTTTGGACTTTTGCCTCAGTGAACTACTAATTTGCCAAATATTAATAGTTAGTAAGGTAGTTGGTTAAGTTTAGGTGTGGGGTAGAATTAAGGGATCTAAAATATGCAGAATAAGGCATTAATAGGTGCTTTATAAGTTTTAATAAGCAGCCAATATGCTAGTAATATGTATGCTAATAAGCAAATAGTTAATAGTGAGAATTGGTCCTTAAAATAAAGTGTTAACATTTTTAAATCATTCTTTTATTTGCCTTGGTAACTAGCTGAAATAAAACCAGTTTACGTTTTTTATATTTTATTTTGATTCCGTTTATTTTATTTTAAGCAGTTGTAGTTTTAGTTAACTATAATAACCGAGACCATGTGACTTCAGTATAATAGTGTTACTGTAGTGCTTGATTTGTCTGTATCTTTGACCATTGTATTTTCTTTTGCTTTCTAGCAAGGTAGAAATATTGCATAACACCAACAATGAGGAGTGTCTGATCTCGCCCGAGGTGTTGAGTGTGTTCTTACCGATCTTTGTGAGGATCACAGGTGTGACCACACTCCTCCTCTTACTGCCGTCGCTCAGGAGGGTGGAGTTGCCCGTCGGAGGAAAGAGTTTGCCGTTGCGGAAGGCCAGCAGGTGTAGCTTATAAATGGCTTCATCAGCCTGACCTGAGCTTCCCAGAGACGAGAAGAGCGACGGGGGAAGCTGGAGAGACGCCTCCACGATAGTGTTCTGCAGAAGTGGAGATGCAATAACGTTACTGTCAGAACATGATGGATATATTCCTGCTTCCACAGCTTTATTGGAGTTCTCGCTTTGAAGAAGCGCTCGCCTTATAGGCTATGACAAATCAACCGTATACATATAGGAAAGCTTGCTGCGATAGACGGAGTTGACGGTGATACCGAAGCTGTCACTTGCCCACCGCCGCATCGTTTTGATTTTTCATAGTAATAAAAATAAGTTAGTTCATTTAGAAAACAGACACTGCGATTAAAAACTGAACGCGGCTGCTCATTGCAGCATGCCGAACGACATCAAGATTTAATTTATCACGTGAGGAGAGTGAGGTGAGACGGACGAGACGATAGCGAATGAATTAGTTTCGAAACGAAATGCAAAAGCGCCTGTTTGGCAGTATATTGAATTTTGAAAAGCCTGTTAACTTTTGCCGTTTATCCAAGATGATTTCGGAAGTTTTTTTAAACACTCGTTTCTTATTTAATTGGTTTCACAGTGTTCGCTGATTTTTACTTTATTTGAACTTTAATTTATTTATTTTAATTTGCCATCAAGGTGTATGCCGCGCCTCCAAGCTTTCTTACTCGTTTTGCTAATAAACGTTCTACGTTTCTTATTTATTTGGTTCCACGGTGTTTACTTGTTTTCAGTTTTGTAGACCTATTTAAACTTAAGTTATTTGTTATTTTATATTAGGCCTAGCCTATAGCATGGTGTATTTTTATTCGTTTTGTTAATAATAGTTCTATGATTTATAAATAGGTTCTATGATTTAAAGTAAGTTTGGCGTTGTATTTTGACGCCGAATTGACGCTAATTTGAAAGTGAAAGTAATATACGCACGCCACATTTACAAGCTATTTAAATCTATTTATTCTCTTTTTAACACCATGCCAGCATCAAGGCTATTTTCATGGCGATCTCTGAAAAAATTATACAAGGTATACAATTAAAAAAAAAGACATTTCAAACCTACACTAGACAAAAATTATAAAAAAAACATTCAGGTGATACATTTTTTAAAAAATCAGTTAAACAAACCTCTGAATAAAACCGTTGCCTATTTACATTAAAAACAGTACAATCCAATAAAATATGCTTCACAGTCATTTTAGTTTGGCAAGTAACTAAACCTTTTAATAAATATCCACGTATAAGTATTGTATGACCTAAAAGACACCTTGTACAAATAACTTGGACATACCTAGATTTAAAATCACAATATGTAAGATTTTTTTATTAAAATAACCACTAGAACAGTGTTATATATTTTGCTGACTTGCATTATCCCAAATGTTTCGAAGAATGTTAAAATCCAGAGAAATAAGCAAGTTTAACTCGTGACACGGAGCGTGTCCATAGTGTCCTTGTGTCGCCTGCCAATGACGTCATAACCCCTCGATTTTTGTTTTGTAGAAAACATGGAAACACCAAAGACGCTTTAATATGTTGTGTGTTTTAATAGACCGGTGACGACCGCACAGAACTTTCAAATGTATCTAGTATGATAAAACAGCGCTGCTTTACCCCACATACGCACGACCGGAAGCAGCGGAAGCGGTCGACTGTGGCATAATAAAAGCTCAGCTGCTTTCGAGCCGTGTGTCGCGCTCGTTCAGCGGCCTCGTTTCACTTCGACGGCTTTCAGCCTCACCCTGCTTCATTCTACTACGTTAATAAATCATTAGCTCATCCATGAACATGATTTCTGCCCGAGTCCCGTCGGATTGCATCGGCTGTGGGGATGAAGACCACAACTCCCATGATTCCACACTCAGTCACTTTTTTTTATTTTGAATACGCGCCCTCCAGTGGCGAAAAATTACATATTGTGCCTTTAAAACTAGGATGTTTCAAATAGCTTATTTTCATGACATTTATCCCATTCCATCTGCCACATGTCATTCATATAAGAGTTTATCACAGGTTTGACATCACAAAAAGGAATTTGACACTCGGAAATATTCAGTTTGAGTGCTTCTTTTGCAGCGATGTCTGATTTACAAGCTATTTATAAGCGAAGGAAAGCAAGGAAAAGACACGGTGATACCAGTATTACCGGTGCTGTCACACGTCGATTAACCGGTGGGAAAATGTCCTCACCGTCACAACCCTAGCCGGAAGTACCCGAGACGAAATGCTTACTTTGAGAGCAAGTGCAGACAGGTTGCTGGTCACGTTGCATTTGAAGCTGAGCTGGCGCTCCGGGTTGATGTCGGGGTCTCTGGGAGAGAAATGGGCCACGGGTGTGCGCTCCGGTGAGAGCTTCTGGAACAGAGTGCAGGTCATTCCATTGAAGCTGCTGGCCTTGATGGCATGAGCCTCCAGAGCAATGTTGTGAGAGTTCTGGTGAAACAGATGAGAGGAAAGAAGAATGATTACAATATCATGCACATGTTACTGAATGATTGTGAACACCAGGTCTCCTTTAAAAACTACTCCATAACAATCTACACTTTTAATCAGCGAGGATGCATTAAATTGGTGAAAAGTGACAGCATTTATAATGTTACAAAAGATTTTGTTCCCACTTTATATTAGGCGTCTTTCACTATGTGCTACAAGAGTGCAGGTCATTCCATTGAAGCTGCTGGCCTTGATGGCATGAGACTCCAGAGCAATGTTGTGAGAGTTCTGGTGATACAGATGAGAGGAAAGAAGAATGATTACAATATCATGCACATGTTACTGAATGATTGTGAACACCAGGTCTCCTTTAAAGACTACTCCATAACAATCTACACTTTTAATCAGCGAGGATGCATTAAATTGGTGAAAAATGACAGCATTTATAATGTTACAAAAGATTTTGTTCCCACTTTATATTAGGCGTCTTTCACTATGTGCTACGTAGAATGTACTTATATTGGTCATGTTGTATTGCAAAACACTTTTGCTGTGATTGAGGTGGGATCTGGTTGAGGTTAGTGACAGGTTTGGTGATTTGGTTAGGTTTAAGGGCTAGAAGTTGGTTTAAAACATGTGAATACAGAAATAAATTACAGATGCAATTACATCCAGGTATTTTTTATATTTAATTTCAATGTCGGTACATAGTAATTAAAGACACTTGATATAAAGTGGGTACAAGATTTCTATTTAAAATACATTTAAAATGGATCACGGTTACCACATAAATATGAAGCAGCACAACTGTCTTCAGCATTCATAATAACCAGAAATGTTTCTTGAGCAGTAAATCAGCATATTATTATGATTTCTGAAGGATCATGTGACACTGAAGACTGGAGTAATGATGCTGAAAATTCAGCTTTGATCACAGCAATAAATTACATTTTAAAATATATTCATATATGAAATAGCTTTTCAAAACCGCAAAAACTTTCACAATATTACTGTTTACACTTTATTTTTGATCACATAATTGCAGCCATAATTGCACAAGTAGTGTAACCAATATTTTGAGTTTGAAAATGGTTTAAAATATAAAGGGTTCAACATAAAGACACTTTTTTCAGTTTAAGTAAGTTATATAAACTGTTCAACTGCTGAAAATTTTTATAATCTGCACACATCTCACCTAAACATACTAACCCTGTACTGAAATCCAATTGAAGTTTCCAATTAAAGTAATGTAAAAAATTAAAATTTTTCCAGTGATTCAGAGATATTTATCATTGCTGTTAGAATGCACAAAACTGAAATATTTGCATAGGTATGTATATCAAGAGACCTAATCTCAAAGTGATCAATGAAATAATTTTGGATTGTCCCTTAATTTGTAAAAGCAAAGAAATCTCATCTACAATGAAATTCACGAGTGGCAAAGCATTCTGGAGGGTTTAACATTTTTACATTTTTGTTCATAGAAATAAGAAAGTAAAACTAAATATTAACATGAAATTAAACTCAAATTAAATTGAAAACATAAAAATAAAAGTTAATTAAAAACATTAATAAAAAATAAAATAGAGCATGAACAGACTATTTAAACCAGAGTCAAAATGCACAATTGAAATGATTCTCTCAGTACTCACAGTAGAATAGGCCAGAGCCCCATTACTGATTCGGAGAGCGGCAATTCTCTGCAGGCACTCAACGATACGTGAGCACGCTCGCGCCTCCCTCTGAGCCATCCATAACACTCGCTCATCAGCCAGCATCAGATTACTGGAGATATCCACCATCACATCTCCCAGCTGAGAGAGGAAATGCAGTTAGAGACGATGCAACACATGCACACCCACCCCACAACACTGATGATCCCTCCAGGCCCACATTATACCCACAAACACACTGCATACTCATTCAGTGCAGTTACAAAACTGCATTCCTGAAATCAACTAAAACTGACATCACACTCAGAAAAATGCTAATGCACTAATGTTTTCCGGAAGAACTAAAACGTGATTAGTGGGATGCGTCAGACTTTCCCACACTGGAGGAACGCACATTGTGAATGTTATCAAAAAACAATGCTGCAAACGCTGGAGCGCTAAATGGCCTGTTCTTTGTCAATTCAACGCAACCTAAATTCTAGTGATATCAAACGATTAATCTTGATTAATCGCATCCAAAATAAAAGTTTTTATGTAATATATGTGTGTACTGTGTATATTTATCATGTATATATAAATACACATGCATGTATATATTTAAGAAAAATATGTTATGCATGTATATTAAATATATTTATATATAATATAAATTATATAAATATAAATATATACATGTAAATATTTTCGAAATGTATAATGTGTGTGTATTTATATATACTCATCTCGGCTACAAAGATCACATCCACCTTGTCAGAGAAGTTGGGCGCCTCTGCGGTGTAAGCCAACAGCTGCTGCGCCGTCTGAACCGCATTGGTCAGATTCAGAGGCATCTGACATACGAGGAAAAAAAAAAAAAAAAAAATGAGAACAGACAAAGAAGAATCAAATATTATGTCTGACAAAAACCACTAAAAAAGGTGCATGATGAGGATTAAACACAATACTGCATGGCTCAACTGCTTTGCCTAATGCAAAGTTACACTTATCTACCTGGTTGATGATATAAAGCACACGCGTGACGTCTTTCATATATTCACAGCGCGAGTAGTCGTCCTCTGCCCACTGTCCACTGCGGCCACATCGCCTCCACGCACGTCGATCTTCCGCCGAGCTGCCCGAGTAAATGCCAGATCCGCTCACCTGCCGTTTACAGGGCAAGTACGCCGTAATGCCAGCAAGTGTCCGAGGCCATCTGCATACAGACACAATCAATACATGTTCATGCACGACAAAGGAAGTACCAATCTGTCTGTGATGTTGCATAGAAATAAATAGCCTTAAATGGGAATATATTTGTTTTGATTGAACAGAATATGCAATAAAAAGAAAGTCTAAAAATAAATGAAAGTTTAAGCTTGTGCTGTAATATGTAGCACTTAGATCCGTTACCACTAGAGTGCAGCAAAGAGCTAAAAAATAGATTGTTTTGATCTCTTCAGCAGTGTATAAGCAACTGATTCAATGATCTAAATCTATGCTAATCATATTTATACTGTTTTTTTGTTTGTTTTACTTTTAACACCTTTACTAAAGCAAAGTTTAGAATCACAGAGATTTTTCTGAAAGGAATTACTACTTTTATTCAATAAGCATGCACTAAAATTAACCAAAAGTGAAAACATTTGATGCTAGAAAATCAGCAAATCAGCATATGTGACCCTGGACCACAAAACCAGTAATAAAAAATGTTTTTGAAATTGAGATTTATACATCATCTGAAAGCTGAATAAATAAGCTTTCATTGATGTATGGTTTGTTAGGATCGGACAATATCTGGCTGAGATACAACTATTTGAAAATCTGGAATCTGAGGGTGCAAAAAAATCTAAATATTGAGAAAATCATCTTTAAAGTTGTCCAAATGAAGTTCTTAGCAATGCATATTACTAATCAAAAATTAAGTTTTGATATATTTACGGTAGGAAATTTACAAAATATCATGGAACATGATCTTTACTTAATGTCCTAATGATTTGTGGCGTAAAAGAAAAATTGATAATTTTGTCCCATACAATGTATTGTTGGCTATTGCTACAAATATACCCCAGCGACTTAACACTGCTTTTGTGCTCCAGGGTCACATATCAGAATAATTTCTGAAGGATCATGCGACACTAAAGACTGGAGTAATGTTGCTGAAAATTCAGTTTTGCTTCACAGGAATAAATTACATTTTTAAATTTATATTATAATAAAAAAGTATTTTAAATTGTAATAATATTTCATTTTTGATCAAATAAACACAGCCTTAGTGAGCAGTAGAGACTTTCAAAAACACTGAAGTTTTAGCGACTCCAGACTGTGAACAGCATCATGTGATCAGATGTGCACTGGACTCACCTGTAGTCTCCCTTGTTGTTCGACACCCGATCTGGCAAGCAGTATTTGGCAGAGCTCTCCAGAACCACGATGTGGACCGTCCTAGTGTTGTTTCCTCGACTGGTGCGCACGCGACACTCCCAGTTCCCCGTGAATCCCGGCTGGATGTTGGAAATGGTCAAGGCGCTGTGTGAGGACAAATCAAACGAGACAAAAACTGTTGCTCTGGGAGAAAAGTCAAGATTATGAATTTAGCATACAGATTTTAGTATTTCACAGTGTTATTGTTATTTGAAACTAAAAGTAAAACCATTACAAAACACACACATATATACATACATACATGTGTGTATATATATTTCCTTTTAGAACAATACATGGCTTTTTTTTTAAGTTCTGGCATTTTCCAGCACAATGTTGGTAGATCAAGTGTGAGTTTATATTTCAGGTATATGTATCGTCACGCTCCAAGGCAAACACTGCTCATAGTGTGATTCATGTATATCTAGTGTGCAGAAAAGCCATTCTGCAGTCAGTATTGGGTTTGGTATCTCCTTCACAGCTGGCTTCTATTACCTGGCTATTAAAGAGCAATTCTGCACCATGCTTTTCTCTATGTAGATGCCCTGAGTGGCATCAGGTTCCACCATCTTCCCATCCTGATACCACAGAACCTGCATGTCCTCGTCCACGAAAGAGGCCATGCACTGAAACGGCAGGCTGTCTCCCTGGAAGACGATCTGATGCTGGGACGGAGTCATCTGGAAGGAGGGTAGCTCTAGAGGAGCATCTAAAATAGAGAAGGGAGAAAATCAAAAGAGAGAGGAAGAAAAACACTGTGGTGAGCCACAGATGACTGCTATGTGCAAAAGCTGATATTAATGAGTGATCCGAGAGCAGTTTCATTGTAGTTCTTGCACAAGCTATGGTTACAAAAGTCCAAAATCAACATAAGCGGGAGGCCTGAACCCAGGCTGAAGGTCTTTTATAGCAGGATTACTTTGCTTTTGGTGCAGGAGAGCGTGTCTGTATTAGTAAAAGAACAGGAAATCGATGGTTTTGAGCTTTTTTCAATCACCAATCATATATTCTTTTCCACTCATTTAGATATTAAGACTATTAGAAACTGTACTTTTTCTGTAAAAGATTAGAGATTTAATGTGCAATGTGTCACAGGTCATGGAAAGCTAAGGTCTGGTTACTCTTATCAGACTACATGTTGCACAATGTCATTAAAATAGAACAAAATAAGGCACTTATCTCCTTTAATCTAGTTTCTGTTTGCTAACAATTTAGGCAAAACCTGACCTACTTGCGCATGTATGCAGTGTTGTTAATGTTAACCAAAACTAAAACTATTATAAACGGTTTCATGATTTGAAATAAAGATAAATAGAAATGTTACGTTAGCAACTAAATGAAATAAAAATACATCTATAAAAGAAAATAAAGCAAATCTTACGAAAAGAACATTTTAATAAAGCTGAATAGAAATTTTTAAAAAACAAATAAAATAAGCACACAACAAAATTACTAAACCCTAAACTAACATTAAAAGGAAAACTGAAAATACATTAGGAAATAGCATAATTGAATATAAATAATACTAAAATAACACTGATTTTTAGAACCAAATCTTAATACATATATTTAGAAATATATGTACAATACATGAGAAATACTAAAATACATTTTATATATATATATATATATATATACACAAAATAAAATGAATCCTAAAATAATCAGAAATACAAAAATTTAAAAAGCTAATTAAAAATATTTAAAATAAATACAATAATAAAATCAAACAATAAATAAACACTGATTATTGGAATAATAATACGAATATTTACTGATTATAATGAGAAATATATTTCATATGTTTAAATAAATATAAACACATTATTGCTATCATTAAATTTACATTTAAATAACTTCTAGACTTTACAAGAAAATAAAATACAAAAAAACTATTTTAAGACAAAAAAACAAAAGCAGAAAAATAAGAGAAAACAAATAAAAATAAAATATAATTTGTGTGAAGGTTAGAAAATATCTTTAGTTTCAGAATAAAACAACAGAAGTCAGTGGATAGTGAGTGTGTATTCTTACCACAGGTGAGTGTTTCGGGCCTGAGCGAGGTTATCAGCTGACCCTGTAGGGAGCGAGGGAACGAGCAGCGAGTCTCCTTCACCCCGATCCCCTTCTCTTTGATCCAGACCACCAGCCAGCGCAGGTTACAGTCGCACAGAAGATAAGGGCTATCAAACTCCCTAAAAATATACACAGCATGTTCAAAAATCATAAAAACTCCATCAGAGCCAATGATAAGATCACAAGAACATTCCTTTCGACAGAGTGTGGGTCAACAGATGCATTAAATTCAGGTCTGAGGGTAAATTCTGGATGGCCCCTATCAAGCATAAACATGTCAAGTGTTTCAAAACCTTATCTCGAGTGTTAATGAAGTTAATGAATATGAAGTGTGTAAACACAGACATTAATAAAGTTTAATAAACAGCAATCTGCATTTTATTTTAGGTGGCCATTTGTGCTTCCACTGTAATTTTATGTGCAAATGATGCAAAGTAAAACAAAACACTTACAGTATTTTCAGAGAGCCAAGGCTGTCGAAAATTCCTTGCGAGAGTGAAGAAAACTTGTTCTCCGAAAGATTACTACAATAAAAAAAGGGGGAATTAATGAGCAAAATGTACTATGCTAAATGGAAACTGATGTATAATTTTTTGCACTGGGAAAAAAAAACAAAACAGTAAACTTCACCAACAGTTACAAAGAAATAGCAAGCAACACATGGAATTAAACTTGAAAGTTTGAATTACAAAAAAATTAAATAGTATTGTTTTGTAAAATGTACTCCAAAATAATCTTTGTTTCAGGGTTATTCATGTTAACTACAACTAAAACCATAAAACATGTTACTTGAAATAAAAATCAACTTTATATATTTATTTTAATTTAATTTCCGCTAGTTGCAACATTTCTCATTTTTATTTGGTCTATTTTGATGCACTAAAATAAAATACTAAAAATAATAAATAAATAAATAACAATAAACATACTAAATACAAAAAAAACTTACACCGAAATCAAAACGAAAACTATAAAAATACAAACAAGCAAAAACAAATACTACTAAAACGTTAATTAAAATTAAAACAGAAAATATAAAAATACATATATTAATAAAAACTATAATAGTATCTCAAAGATACTAAAATAATCCTGCTTTGTTTTATTTACAACTTAAAATTAATTAAATGGATTATTATTACAACTATTATGTAGGGATTTGTTTTAACATTTCAATTTAGTTTTGTTATTTACATTATATTTAGCGACTTCCAAATGAGGACTTCCAAATGAGGACAATAGAAACGATCAAAACCAAAGAAAGAGCAATAATACGCAAGTGCTATATTAGTATATTATTATAGTGTTATATTTCAATTTCACAAAGAAATGTGCAGCATTTTGTCCAAGCAATA